GGGTGACTTTGTACCACCATAAGTTACATAGTTCCATCGATCAGATAGGTAAATTTTAAACCTGTCGCAAAGTGATGAGGAGAGACCATAGACTGCAAGTTTCTCCACCCTGCAATGAGTGACTCACCAGGTCAAAAGCTTTTTTGAAATCAAAGTAAATTGTGTCAACCTGTTGTTTTGATCCTTGTTTGGAACTGAGGAATTCCATAAATCCGTTCAAAATTGTTTCTACAAAGCGGTTTGGCTTAAAGCCAGGTTGATTTACGCTTATGTTACGGGCAAACAACGGCAGTGCATGACTTTTTTCAAATACCTTAACAAAGGAACAAGTCGATGAGATTGGACGATAATTAGCGACCGACAAAGATAAACCACTCTTTAAAATTGGCACAACTCTTGAGAGCTTCCAAGAAGTTGAAAAAAAGTCTGTCTTTCAGAGACCGATTAAAGATAAAGGTTCACACCGGAGCCAAAATATCGCGGCACCCTTTAAGTATAAAAGATAGAATTCCGCCAGTTTCAGAAGATGTTTCAGGTGATAGTGCCCGAATCGCCGCCAAAACGTCGCCATTGCTAACGAGAGAATCGGTAAGAACTCGTTTGCATGATCACGCGTTGCGCTGGCTTCAGACGTCCTTGGTCCGAAATTAAAAACAGAAGAGAAGAAAGCTGCAAAACATACACAGATGTCGCTCGGATTGTTGATATCTTCGGAACCCCAAGGAAGTGTTATCTGTTGTGCCGTTTTATTTTTCTTCGAAACATTTCCTGGTGTACTTTCAGAAGCATGTGGGATTTTTTCTTCAGGCTCGATTCAACGTTTTGGGTGTGGTTTTCGTAATCCCGACGATATGGGCGTTTCGTCCCAGTGCGCACGGATTTGAAATTCTCGTACCCCAACTGATTGTTTGTGCTTTTGTATCGTCTGTGATAGCGTAACTTTTTCCTCGTGGCACATTTCAGTTCGTGTGAAAACCAGTGCAGATAGTGATTAGTTTTATATTCAGAGACTGGGATAAACATTTTCATTGCTGTTGTGACTTTTTCTGGAAGTATTGTTACTTGTGAGTTTACGTATACTTCAGATGACGTGATAACTGACCGATCTACGTTTGCCAGAAATTCGTAAAATCCTAGATAGTTCCCCTTCTGGTACGGAAAAGCTGTCGGTTGCGGGCACGCTTGGCGTCGTTTACAAAATATGGTCCAAGTTACCTCAAATGGAATATGCCAGGTGTCTATCGGAACCTTTGGAACCCTGGCCCCCTCGAGTGTGCACTCATTGCCATTCCTGATGAACAGGTCTAATAGGTTGCCCTTGCAGTTCACGAAAGTATTTGTCTGTAGCAATTCAAAAAACGTTTACGAGTTCAGACAGATAATTGGTTTTCCGGTACACCTCTGAGTTACTGGAATTTACGATACCAGTGTTCCAGTAATAAAAACGATGTACTTCGTAAATTCTATTGTGTTCAAAGCACGGTACATAGTCGATCTAAAAGTATTGCAGTCACATTCAGGGGCAAGATAGTAATTTTGCAAGAGGATATTGGGCGGACCGTGAACACTAATTTCGATCCATACACACTCTTAGAGCTTCCTAAATCAGGTCTGTGGAAAGAATTCAGGTAGCTTCATATCGCTACCAACCCGCCGCCCCCGAGAATTTGGTTTCAACTTTTGTAATCTCTATCTGCGCGAAAAACTTTGTACTCGGATCGAAAATACTCGGCACTTGAAATATCGTCTCGCAACCACGTTTAGGTGGGGATCGGTGGCCGAGTGGGCTGAAGCGCACATCCAGCTCGATGCGCGTGGAGCGAAAACTCGCGCTGCAGAACCCAGGGATCCTGGGTTCGAGCCCCACCCCTGCCCGTTTCGATCTGGATGAGCATCGTACCGGCGTGCGGTCGTGTATCACTACTGCGTGAGCACGTTAAAGACCCCAGGTTAGCAGTCGTACTGCACTGGCAAAATTGCTCATCTACAGTGTAAACCAGTGTCGCCCCTACTGGCAGACCAACCTTACGCTGTATAAATCACTAAAACGTCCAATTTGACTTTGACGACGTTTAGGTGATGCAATAAATGTCGTAGTCGGAAGCGAGACAATGTTCCATAAATATCGCTGCCTTCCCGCGTATGCTACGGACGTTTTGGTAGTACCATGATAACTTGTGTGCTTTATTCATTGCCATTGCTGTGCTGATTACTCACTCGCCTAAAACGCATACTGTCCTTTAGCGGTTCGTAGAAAGGCCAAAAAATACAACCCTTAGGCCACAGTTCAATGTCGTTGACGATATCTAGCTTCTGATCGTCTACCGCAATGTGGAAACATGCAGTGTTGAACTTACTTGGTAGCCTGGCGCGCTGAAAAGTGTGTACTCGTGTTTTAAATAGCTTTATTAACATCTGTATGAGACGTATATGTCTGTCTCACAGATTATATTTGTTCCACGTCATTTGTTCCACTGAAAACAGATTTTGTAAAAAAAAATGCATTTGATAGAATAAAACTTGTTTTCGGTGTAGAAAATAACAATTATCTTAGCCTGGCTCCCGGTATTGGAGAGTGTGGAGATGTTTCTGTTGCTGGGAGAGAAAAAATAATAATTTGCTTAAAGTAACACAAAGGGCCATCACATGAGGTATCGTGTTTCCTTTGTCTTTTCTTTTATTATTCATGTAACTTACCAACCTCCCCGTCGGTCGACGTTATATATATATATATATATATATATTTTTTTTTTTTAAGCTCAGCAGGTAATTTTTGTTTAATTTTCGTGGCGTTACATTCTTGGAAAGAGATTTTATATTTTTGCAGTAGTGCTGGACAAAAAAAATTCCTGGGGCTTATTTGTTTAATCACGTTTTTAGAAATACTCAACACCGACATCACATTTGTTTTACTACTAGCTTCTTTCCGTTGACAAATTTTACACGCACAATGGAGGACAAGAAAAATAACCCCGATTCTGAGATTAGATGACCATAGGAACCTAGTACATTAGAGGCCAGTCTCGTTGATCAGTACTTGCAATAAAGTGTTCGAGTATATAAGGATTGGACATGCGATAAAATAATTTGAAATAAAGGATAGTATCAATGCACGCGAACACATCTTCAGGAAATCTCAATTTGTGTTTGCCAGCTAACATACGTGATGCATATTTCTGCTAGTATACTTTTCGAAAACTTTTGACTCCGTCTCACGCCCTAGGCCTAGGCTTCAGCTCTCGTAACTTTTTCCATCTCTGAAACGGGAGAATTTATTAAACTCCTGTACTACTTGCTTATCTAATCGAACCCGATACGCTCAAATTAATTGTGAGTACTCTGCGCAGCTTCCTGGAATTTCGAGCGCACCTCAGCAGTCATTGTTTGACACTCTTTAGTTTGTCCATGATATTTCATCGGACATCCACGGTACCATATGAAGATTCTTCAGGTGAGTGCTAGGAGATATTTTTTCACCAGAGTTCCTTAAAACCTCTGAGGCCAACAAAAAATTGCAGTTCTATAGGTGGCGCTTCGAACGATGGGAGGTAGCCTTGAGAAGGAGAGGGGGTTCGATTCTCCGCTGCAGTTCCACAACTAAGTGCATCTAGTAACGTTTGCAGCTGGCCTTGTGCTACGTCAGTGCAGCCGCAGACGTTGGTTGGCTCCGACGACGTTTCCTCGTTTTCGCGCCAACTGCTTGCGTTTGGCACGATTCTTTTCTTTTCTTGTGAGCGCATACGCGCTATTTTCCCCTCATCGCGTCAACACCCGCGTCCAGTATATCAGCGAGGTGGTGTACGCGTCGGTGGCAGGTACACCCGCCTCCCGTTGAACGCTTAGAAACAACATGGCGCACGGTGGTGAATTCACACCGGATTCCAAATTGGTCACGCTCGCTTTAGCAATTGCCTTCGGTGAGTTTTTCCTCTCTAGGATCTATGTTTCTTCCGCTTTTAAAGTTGCATTTCTTTGGTTTCTTCAGTTATCTTGATCGGTATTTTCCTATGTCAAATCAAAGTGAAGGAATTCGTCCTAAAACAATCCACGAGGTGTCTTTACTCGGAAACAATTTTCTGTTCTTCGTTTCGTATTTTTGTGTGAGTACAAGAGTTGGAATATCGAAATTTCAAATCCATAGCAGATTGTTTTCGTTGGAGGCTAATTTAAACCGCATATTGTGTCAATCGTAGCTTTCGCAATGCTTGCAAATGCGAAGGCGGCCTAGATCGATCATTGCATTCTGATGGCTACGACTGAGAGAGCGCTCTTCGACACGCGCTCTACATGTGCCTCAAGCGCATACTTAACTTTCAAGCCTTCATATTACTATAATTATAATTACGTTTGTTATTACTAACGCAATGCCAGCTGGAAGGATAATAAATACTTCCAGGTGGTTTGTATTCAAGCCATTTAACACCTGTCTCTACATTCGTGTTTTTGATTATTATTATTGTGGAGTGAGCTTAACTGATCATTTTGTATCAAATATATTTTTGTTGGAGAGAATATCGTAGAGTTACAATGAAAAGGGAATTGGCAATAGCGAGAGAGAGTGATTAGTTGTGCAAAACAATATTCCTCCGGGTCAAAAAGAACTTTGCGTCTCTAGGTGACTGCTCATTGGTGCATTGGTTCAACTAACTCGCTAGAATGAGTTTTGGGGGCGCAAGGAATCCTTCTTCCATGATAAATATTACACATGCGATTCCCGCCGACTTCCTTGTACTTCGCTGTGGTTCCTCGTACTAGCCTTTTCCACAGCCCAGAAAAAAAATGGAAGGGTTAGAAATACTTACAATTAAAGAGCAAGCAGTGTTTTGCTACATTGTGCGGGGGCACCTCGTAATTCTGTTTCTATCACGATTGAGCGCAGTGAACAGGAGTTACTTTGTGCTAGAATACACGTATTTTCGGTTCTGAATAGGGTTTTTATTCACCTTTGTTTTTTTTCCGGCGCATTAAAGCCGGATTTTGTCCCCCGCTTGCACAGCGGACTGGTTTTTAACAACGTGCCTTTGTCCTTTGCTTTCTTTTAGCCAGCCCAGCGATAAATGCCCAAATCATTCTCGAGTGCTCGAGTGGCTTTGTGTACTGCCTCGATGGCAAGCTGGTCTGTGAGCCCAATAAGATTCTCTGCATAGATGGTAGGTTGGTTTGCGCCAGCGAATCTACGAAACATCGCTGTTCATTGGACTTGATAAGCTCAACTTCGACAGAGCCGCCGCATCACACGCATCAACCATCAAGTAGTGATGTTGGGTCGAACTGGACATTATCCAAGACCGCAGAAACAGAATTCCCAACATTAGAGTCTTCAGAACCTACACCTTCCGAGGGTGGAGACAAAACGTCAAGTAGCGATGTTTTTTCGGACTGGCCGTCATCCAAGACCCCAGAAACAGAATTCCCAACATTAGAGTCTTCAGAACCTACACCTTCCGAGGGTGGAGACAAAACGTCAAGTAGCGATGTTTTTTCGGACTGGCCGTCATCCAAGACCCCAGAAACAGAATTCCCAACATTAGAGTCTTCAGAACCTACACCTTCCGAGGGTGGAGACAAAACGTCAAGTAGCGATGTTTTTTCGGACTGGCCGTCATCCAAGACCCCAGAAACAGAATTCCCAACATTAGAGTCTTCAGAACCTACACCTTCCGACGGTGGAGTCAAAACGTCAAGTAGCGATGTTTTTCCGGACTGGCCGTCATCCAAGACCCCAGAAACAGAATTCCCAACATTACAGTCTTCAGAACCTACACCTTCCGAGGGTGGAGACAAAACGTCAAGTAGCGATGTTTTTTCGGACTGGCCGTCATCCAAGACCCCAGAAACAGAATTCCCAACATTAGAGTCTTCAGAACCTACACCTTCCGAGGGTGGGGACAAAACGTCAAGTAGCGATGTTTTTTCGGACTGGCCGTCATCCAAGACCCCAGAAACAGAATTCCCAACATTAGAGTCTTCAGAACCTACACCTTCCGAGGGTGTAGTGAAAACATCAAGTAGCGATGTTTTGTCGGACTGGCCATCATCCAAGACTCCAGAAACAGAATTTCCAACATTAGAGTCTTCAGAACCTACACCTTCCGAGGGTGGAGACAAAACGTCAAGTAGCGATGTTTTTTCGGACTGGCCGTCATCCAAGACCCCAGAAACAGAATTCCCAACATTAGAGTCTTCAGAACCTACACCTTCCGAGGGTGGAGACAAAACGTCAAGTAGCGATGTTTTTTCGGACTGGCCGTCATCCAAGACCCCAGAAACAGAATTCCCAACATTAGAGTCTTCAGAACCTACACCTTCCGAGGGTGGAGACAAAACGTCAAGTAGCGATGTTTTTTCGGACTGGCCGTCATCCAAGACCCCAGAAACAGAATTCCCAACATTAGAGTCTTCAGAACCTACACCTTCCGAGGGTGGAGACAAAACGTCAAGTAGCGATGTTTTTTCGGACTGGCCGTCATCCAAGACCCCAGAAACAGAATTCCCAACATTAGAGTCTTCAGAACCTACGCCTCCCAAAGGTGGAGTCGAAACATCATCTAGTGGTGATTCACAAGGCGGGACATCATCTCAGACCGGCGAAAGTCAAGGCTTCCAGTCGGGAAGTTCGACAACCGAGCCTGGTACACCTGGAAGTTCGTCATCTGAAGCCTACCCAACGAGATCGTCCCTGAAACCGGTTACCGAGAATCGTTTGCCTTGGGTGGAAGAAATCCATCTTCAAATGCAAACGAGATTTCTGAGGCTGTTTGCGACGGCCTTTGCTTCACGGGGTGTCAAGTTACGAAATCTGAGATTCTCGTACGCCGACAACTATCATCCAGGTGTCAGAGTCCATGCAAAGACTGTACGCGGAATCTTCTCCGGCGGTCGGCCCGAGCTGTCCGTGGCTGAGGCGAAATTCACGCAGAATGCTTTGGACTACATCCTTCAGGTAAAATGTTCATGGGGTTATTACGCTTCCTCTACATGTTTCAACATATGTTAGGGAAATGTGGGTGGACACCTTATGGTCATTCGGGTGTCCTTTTGGCATTAAGAAAGCGATGTTGCGAAGTAGGCGGAGCCATTAAGGGTATGATATTTTCCGCTTTTGTATAATCCGCAATCAGTTGTCATTGCAAAAACCAATTTTAGCCGAAAAAAAAGTACTTTAGCGAGTTTGCCTCTTGTGCATAGCTGCACGTGATACTCAGTAGCCCGTAAAGTATATATTATACACATTATACTTTAAAACATGCCTGCTGTATTATAGAGGAAAGGCACGCGTATCATAGAGAAGTCCTTATTTAAATAATCTTATTTCTTAAAGCCGTCATGTTTCGTCTAAGGAATCGATCTTTAAAAAAATAGGTCATTGTGTAGCCTGCACCTGCAGATAGTCCGCATTATACTTTATGTATTGTCCGTGGATAGTGCGGAAAGCATGGTACACTGTTATTAATGTGTCTGGCACTCGTTTTTATATGACAAAGTTTCCCTCAAAGGAAGCAGTAAACTGGGCTATTTGATAATAAGTAAACATGGTTGATGAAAATCAGCTTATGAAAACGGGGACGAAGGGAGCAACAAACGCGACAGGACAGAGCGGAACTTTGCAACTAAATTTATTACTTTCGACGAAAATAGAGGAAAAATATACAAGAAAATTTTATCCTGATCACATAGTACCCAGAAACACACTTGTCATCCCAGGTGCCCGTTATCAGGCGAAAGTAAACTTCACATTACGTGAATACGGAAAGCCCGGCGGTACAAAGAGTCCCTACAAAGCCAGAGTTGGTGCAAGAGCTGAAAAGCGTGCGAAGGTCAGATGTATAAAAAAAACACGACGCAGAATTCGTTTGTTTCATGCGTTTCGTGTGTTGTGTACCGAATTCCCCTGTCTTGTGGAAAGTTCTATGTTTGGCGGACGGATAGGTGCCTGAACGAGAGACTCCGGGAGCATACGTATTCGCTCAAAGCAACGGTGGGTGGCCTTCTCCCTTTGCGCTGTAGGGACTGTTTGTGCCAGCCTGCCTTCACTGATGGGAGGAGGAGGAGGAGGAGGAGGCGGAGGAGGAGGAGGAGGAGGAGGAGGAGGAGGAGGAGGTGGTGGTGGTGGTGGTGGTGGTGGTGGTGGTGGTGGTGGTGGTGGTGGTGGTGTTGTGTTGTGTTGTGTTGTGTGGTGTGGTGTGGTGTGGTGTGGTGTGGTGTGGTGTGGTGTGGTGTGGTGTGGTGTGGTGTGGTGTGGTGTGGTGTGGTGCGGTGCGGTGCGGTGCGGTGCGGTGCGGTGCGGTGCGGTGTGGTGTGGTGGTGGTGGTGGTGGTGGTGGTGTGGTGTGGTGTGGTGTGGTGGTGGTGGTGGTGGTGGTGGTGGTGGTGGTCACGAGAAAAATTATCGAGGATTTTTACATTTTATGTTGGGGGGCCAGTTGTGTGAGCGAGACATACGTTGCGTCATCCCAAAAATGAGCTGACGTTCCTGGCATCTTCATGAAGTATTGACAGAACGTGAAGTCACGTCTTGCCTGATAACGAGGATCGGGGGGGGGGGGGGGGTGACGAGTGTATTTGTGGGTAAACATTTTATCTGATGAAGATATGATTTGTGTATATATATATTCGTTTCAAGTAATAAATTTAGCTGCGACTTCAGCTCCGTCTTGTCTTGTTTGTTCCTCCTTTCTCCGTTTTGTAAGCTGATTTTCATCAACCGTGGTTAATTTCTCTGAAACATCGGTCAATGCGCAATCATGGCGGTAGGTTACTTAGGCATCGGCGAAAAACGAAAGTGGAACCAGTCGTCACTTTCACTCAAGCGTCAAGACTCGTGGTTCTTCTGCGTTTCTTTCACAACAGACTGACTGCGCAACAGGTTACTGCACGAAAGGCATCGGTCGTAAGCACTGCGCTGCTGTGCTGCCGCTTGTAATGCGACGTACAACACTGTTACGCCGACTTAAAACGACAAAAAAACATACGAGGTTAACAACTTGAGGGCACACCTATCGTAACAACGTTCCAGGCATTATATTTTTGGCAGGATGCTGGGACAAAGATTTCGCCGATAGCATTTCCCTCGTGATTGCGGGTCTGACTTCTTCAGACTAATTAAACCAGAAGAGAACAAATGTTCGAAATAAAGGTTTCAGTATACATGATGCCCATTACCTTTCTGCAGTAAAGGCACATATTATCCGCCATAAAATGCCGCAGCAAGTAAATAAAAACACACTTTTCAGAGCAAACTGAGTCCCATCATCATGCCGTCAAATGGGTGACGATTCATTAACTGTTGGCTCGCTGCCCTGATCAGCTCCCCGCTTTAGTGGCTGGTGAGGTGACTGCGAATATCCACTTTGAATTTCTATTTCCGTTGAAATAGCGCGTCCCGAAAAGGGAAGAAAGCTCGCTGGGTGCCTTTGATAGCAATCTGAGTTCCTCCAGCCTGTTGTCCAATGCTGACGATTCCGTAACTGTTTTCACGCAACCCTCCCCAGCTCCTTATTGTAGTTATGGTGGCTGGCGAGGGGACTGCGAAGCTTCCGACTTTCGTTTCCTAAAAAAAAAATTTTAGCCTTTCTACTTTGGTGAAGAATTAAGACCGGTTACTTCATTCCCTTGGTGGGAATGAAGTAATGGCCGGCCGCAAGTTGGCAAGCCAGAGTGGAAAGGCTGGTAAGGTTGCCGCCATCTATGAAAGATGGCAAAAACCAGACCACCGGCAAGCCGGTTGTCTGGTTGCCGCCGTCGCTCATAGATGACGGTAGCTTTCCAGAGTTTTGTGTCGACATTTTTTCGCCCACGGACACGATACTGGGGAAGCTAGCCCTTAACAGCTCCGCTGTAAAAAAAGACTCGCTGTACACTTTTGATAGCAATTTTAGACCCGTCATTATGTCCCATGGTTGCAATCCTTGACTGTTTGCACGACACTTTCCCCAGCTGCCCATCCTAGTCTTGGTCCCCGGCGAGGTGACTGCGAAGCTCCAGTTTAAGTACACGAACCGCCATATCACTGGCCGGATGCCTGTCAGGATAAAGCTTGGCTACGTGAGATTCCTGGCCACCATCGCGGTTAAGAAGGCAACAGGCATGGGCTCCTGGGTTGGTCTCAAGGCCACGAAGATCTTCATCCAGAAATACGATGTGACACCGGGCGCCGACTACTGGGTCCTGAAGAAGATGGGCCGACGGGAGGTCAACCAGGTGGTCAAAGAGATGATGAAGACCAAGTTTCTGGAGGATTCCCTGACGTTCTATCTCACCAAGCTATGGAGGCGCATGGCCTTCCCGGTTTCCAATGTCCGGGGATAGACGAGGGGAAAAGTGCGGGATGTTTACAAATAAAGAGTTTACTAAGAGAATACAGGACTCTCCCCTCACTTGCATCAGACAGAACGACGGCAGCGCCATAAACCAACCCTGGTGGAGTGGTTTATTTGGCGACTCCTCTCTCTTCCACCCGCCTCCGTTTGCGTCAGAGCACGTGTTGGCGATGCCTTGGAATGCAATGCGGTTGACGGTGCCGCTGCCACCGTCACCTGTTTCCTCAGATCTTCGTTGTCGTCTTCGATGTATTCTCGGGGAGTGTCCTGTATTCCCCTAGTGAATGAAGCAAGAATACATGACACCCATTGGTTGTTGTCTCTTGATGTAGTTGCAGCCAATAGTCGGTGACAGGTTAAGGGTTCAGGGCTAGCTCCTCCCACCCTTTCCACTTTAGCAGAGCGAACCCTGGATAGAATTTTGCCAAGCGCGCCTCTCTAGCTTTAGCTTTTCTCAAGTAGATACAGGCTGGAGGAACTTCTTCCGAACTCTTAACTTGTCACCGACTATAGACCTATTTCGCAAGGGCGCCGCCATCTTGAAATGTCGTCACTTCCAGTATGGGCGAAAACATTGTTTTGCGTTCGCCACGCCAATAGAAGGCATTTAGAATATAAGCATATAACCGTCACCTATTCTTGTTTTGCGTCCCCTTTATTTTTCTACTATTTGCAGGCTGAAATGTTTTATTATTTTTTCGTCCCCCATACCGGATACGCCTATTCGATGGCTGGGGACGAGAGTACACGAAAAAGGTCTATAGACTCAGAGAGGGTAAAAAGTGGAAAGAGGGGGGGGGGGGGGTTGGAGTACTTATGTCATTTAGAATAAAATAGTGGCTCGTCCTTCGCGTATTCTGTGTATCTTTATATTTTATTCCCACCAGCTGCTTTTAAGGGGCTTGACGTGAGAGCTTGTTCTTGCTTTTAGACATTCGTGTAATAAAAGATGAATCCATTTTAAGTCATGAACTTCCTCGGCACAGCGGTGGCGATACGTAACCGTCCACTAAAGTATGCTATCTCGAGTTTCCCTTGGTAAAAAGCTGTACAGAGTCAGCATACTAAAAACATACTGACAGTGTACTTAGGAGACGTGCTAATACCATACTCATTTCACACTTTTATAAAAAAAAATGAAGGCCGTTTACAACTCCCTGTAACGCAGAATTAGAGCGCAGCTCTTGAGGAGGAGAAGGGAAGGGTACAGGGAAGGATATACCCCTCCTCACGGGGTGACCCCCGTGACGTCATGGGAGTCACGTGACCTCAGGGGGGTCACGTTATCTCAGGGGGTCGCGTGATCTCAGGGGGGGTCACGTTACCTCACGGTTATGCCGACGGCGACGGCAACGGCGACGACGACGGCGACGCCGTTCAAGCCAGAATCGGGCGCCTAAGGCCCGCTTCAGACGAAGCAATTTCGTCCAGCAACTTGACGTCGCAACACCAGCAACACGGGCCGCCCGCGTTCACACGCAACAACCGAATTGGTACGACGTGCCATCATCATCATGAAATTAGATTTTTTTTACACTATTTAGACGGAAAGCTACGCGCTAAAAAATGTGTTTTTATATCTTTGAATGGTGTTGGAGAATACTAACTCATCTTTGGTTTATTTTTAAAAACGACCCATTTCAAACCCTAACCAAATAGCTGTCATCATCACCACCACAGGGGTGTCAAGTGAAAATATCGCGTCCCTGATTAGCTGCAGCCGTTTCAAATGTCTTCGGCCCGCTTTAGACAGGGCAACTTTTTCAGCAATTTTGAGGTTGCTGGCGGGTTGTTCCTTAGCTTTCCCTAGATCGACACGAATTGCCGAGATCGGGTCCGGCGCGAAACGGATGAGCAACTCGAACAACTTTGAGCCGTTTGAAGCGGCAGCAGCCAATTAGGGACGCGATATTTTCATGTGACATCCCCGTGGTGGTGATGATGACAGCTAAAGACTTGGTTTTGGTTTTTGGAGATAAACCTTTTCAGAAAGATTAGCTAGTATTCTCAACGCCATTCAAAGATATAAAAACACGTTTTTAGCGCGTGGCTGGGCGTCTAAATAGTGCAAGAAAATTCAAAGTGAATGATGATGATAGCAAGTCGTAGCAATTCGGTTGCTGCGTGTGAACGCGGACGGCCCGTGTTGCTGGTGTTGCGACGTCAAGTTGCTCGGTGAAATTCATAGAGTTATTACAATAAACGCTAGAGGCTCAGCTGGCGCTAGTGTGCTGTTGCAAATTGAAGCAGACAGCATGCAGTCAGAAATTGACTTCCGGTAATGCATTTCTATGGGAAAAAGCGAGTGCATTTTCTCTCTGCGCTCGATTATAAGAGCAAATATCACGAATAATTTGTACGTACTAGGCACATTGGAACATTTCTCAGTCACGCAGATGAAATAATTGGTCAGTTACAGCATTTTTATTTGAAATTCGCGGCATTAAAAACGGTGTTAAAACCGCTTCGTACGTGTATTTATGGGCACTGTCGGACACTGTTAGCGCGAACACGGCGTCGACGCTTTCCAGCATGGGGGATATACGTGTCAAACGAACGAACGAGATGTGGAAAACCAAGAGAGGCGGCAAGAACTACGCAGTAACACTGGGTAAGTAAGTCCTTGTGCTTGCAGACGATCAAAATAAGTTGAAAGTCACGTAATATAGTCCGATTTGCAATAAATAAGTATTGCCTTATTCTTTCTGCTCATGAATATGTGCGAAGATGCTTGTTCTGTGTTCAAATCGTCGCCCGCACGCTCCAAATCTTTGCAAATAGGGGGGAGCCAGAGGACAGGTGCGCGATAAAAATTGCCCAACATAGGAAATAATAAGAAAACACACCTTTCGTAGCCCACGTACTTTATTCTTTACGTTTCGAACGTCCTTTTTTCTTTTTAACCGCTCGTAGAGATGCACGACGAGGTCATTTTCATATAGTGAGAGGACAGGCATGTTAGCAATATATAAGCACCAACGGAATGCTGACGAACTTTGAACACACTCTACATTCCTCTCGATCGTTATTTTGCTTAGAATCGTCGCTCGTTTGTACATACCTGCCATGGAACAGAGGTTTGGGCCTGAAATATAGCGAAGTTTAACATCGTTCAGTGGTAAAGGAAAAATGCTGTAACTAAAGCAATTACACTTTCACAATATTTATAAAGGTACATACTACCCGGTACAACCGAAATAACAAAAGTTATTAATGTTATTTTCCGCCGACGAGACAAAATTCACGCGCGTTTTCCCATAGGAATACACAGGAAGACTGGAAAAGTAGACTGCATGCTGTCTGCTTCAATTTGCAACCGGAAGTCCCATAGACACTAGCGCCAGCTGAGCCTCTAGCGTTTATTGTAATAACTCTATGGTGAAATTGCTCTGTCTGAAGCGGGCCTTCGAATTGCTCCGAGTTGCTCGCTCGTTCGAGCCGGACCCGATCTCAGCAATTCGCGTCGATCTTGGGAAAGCTAGGGAACAACCCGCCAGCAACCTCAAAATTTCTGGAAAAGTTGCCCCGTCTGAAGTGGGCCTAAAGGCTTGCCTGACCACACTAGCGTAAACGGCGCCGCTGGGCGGCGCCGCTGGGCGGCACCGCCGTCCGGCGTCCCAACGCAGGAGTCCACATTGGCCTCCGTTTTGCGGCCGTCACGTGACAGCACTGGCTCTTGCGATCGCGCGCGCGCCTCCTGTCGGATTTTTCGCTCCTTTGTCGTCTGCTCTTCGTTAGATTTTTCCGTTTCGGCTCTCATCCTTCGCGTGTATCAGCATCGAAACCGCACTCGCTGCCTACATGGTAGGTGTCCATGATGACCTGGTTTTCGGCGTGAATGTGATTATCCTAGCCTGCTCGTTGATCTTGCGACGTCGCCGCGCTCTGAAGGGAAGGAGGCGCAGGTTTTGGGTCCGGCCAAGTTGGTTCTACCGAAACACCGAAGGCCAGGTCAGTGCTTTGCTGCCCCGGCGGCGCGCCAGAGATGAAGGCTACTTTTGAGAGCGTCACCGAATCAACACGACATCCGTCACAACACAGACGACATGCAACAACTGCCACGGAGGAACTCACATGTAATTTCGAATTCCTCTCCTATAATTTCCCAGCGGTTGTTCTTAGCGTCCTTATCTAGGCAATCTCGCCGCGTCTTGTCATGTAAAAAGGGAAACAGTCGCACAGTTTCGAGGAACCGCTCCGTTGAGAAAGGCATTGGGGGAAATAGGGATAGCAGACGAAACGAAACTATAGACGTTCCTTCGGAACGTGAAAGGCGCACTGAAAACCGGCTTGAGCGTTGCCATGACATCGCAACGTCACTATCTACGCCACCTCCCATTGGCTCCTCTCTTCTGCGGCGACGAGCGGCGAGCTCTGAACCGCGCAAGGACCGGTTGGCTTTGCGGCGCTGAACGTCGCGCCGCAGACGGCGAAAACTGGTTTTGGTCGGCAGCCGGCGGCGCCCCGCGTAGCGCGGCAAGCCTTCGCGACGCCAATGTGGTCGCGCCTTAAGAGCTGCGCTCCGAAACAGAAACTGCACTTATAGCATACTGCTTCTATACTTCAAGTACATTGCAAGTACACCGTCAGTACGCTACATGTGTACACTTATTAGACTGCAAGTGCAGTCCAGTGGACTACGAGCACACTGGAAGGATACTTTCAGTGAACTATCGGCATGAATTATTTGGACGTGTTTCTGACGCAGCGCTTGGCTTGACGCAGCCGAGCGCTGTGTCAGCGTTTGAATGCATAGGCATGCCCCGCTCGCACCCGCACTCGAATCCACATCAAACAGCAAGCGCGCGCAAGAGAGGGAGTACAGAAAGTCTTCCGTCAGCATGTTTGCGTGTGTCTAGTTGTCTGCTCCGGCACTTTGCTCCGACGAAAAAAAGTTTCGAGTTCTTGTTGTATTTGGTCCTGTCTAATGTGGGGCCCAACCTTCGCACATGGTCGAACTTACTGTAGTGCGTGCTCACAAAATAGGGATCTGTAACCTTGCAGATACTTTTAGTTACTTTTTTTTTTAAAAATATGTAAGTTATTGTTACAGTTACTCGAGGGAAATGTATCGAGTTGAGGTAAAAGTTACCACAAAGAGTAACGAATTACAGTATCGCGATACAACCCAAGACTGGTTACCTCCCAGCGGTCAAAACGGACAAAACCGTTGGCGCGCGAAAAGCAGGATGGGTAAGATGGGCGAGAGGTTGCGTCAAAGCTGAGCCCCACCCCCCCCCCCCCCCAACCCCCTTTCCTCAACTCGAAAGAGGGTGAGATGAACGCTGACGCTTCTACCGCC